ATACTTTTATAATAAAAATCTTGAAAATTACCATAATGTAGCCAAAATAATTTAAATTCTGAATAACAGTTCCTTCCTACATAAATTAGAACTAGCCTCTTGTGGCCTTTGTTTTATCTTTTCACTTTTTTCGCAGTGTCTTTTCACGAAGGGAATTTCTTGTGTTTAATGAGGCCCTATTTTTTACTGCTTAACTGTATGCTCAGTGCTCTTTGTGGCCTCTGTGTGAAAGCTTTGACTTCCTCAAAGTTATGAATATGTTTTCTTATACTTTTTCACCAATCTTTATTATTTTACATTTCACATTTGGATGTGCAATCCATCTGGAAATGGCTTCTCTGTATATGGTATGAGTTAGGAAATCACACCTATTGGTAATCAATTCAATCATTACTATTTCTTGGAAAAAAAAAAACAACATTTCCCCCACTGTAATTCAGAATCATCTTTTTCCATAAAGTCAGTCACGGCACATATGGGTCTGTTTCCAGGGTCCCTACTGGCCGACTGCTTGATTTCCTACACTTGTGCCAATATCACACTATTTAAATTACTTATACCCATAATAAGTTAAAAGTCCTATAAATAAATATGAAAAAGGCAATAATTCAATGGGACGTGAGCAAAAGACTGTGAATACTATGTAGAGGGAATATCCACATATTCCACTAAAAAGCCAAGCAAACATGCTCTACAAGATCAGTCATGAGGAAGATGCCAATTTAAACAATGAGACGCCGCTACGCACTTTGGGAAGGATGAAAATGAAAACGACAGGTTGCACAAAGTGGGCTCTTATCTGTATATATAAAAGGCTAATGTGCAAAGTGTCCCTGCTGGAGTGTGACTGGGAGACCTGGAGTTCTATCACTCTCTATGACGTGCGCTGACCACCAGGGGGTGGCATGGAATGAAGGGAGGCCCCTGCCGGCAGCTGGAAGGCCCCGCTCGGCCCTGGTCAACGGCCAGGCCTAGGGACCCTACCCGTGCATGAATTTCATGCACCCGGCCTCTAGTTTTAGTATAAAAAGCAACTAACACACTGCTCTGGAACTGTCAGTTGTTACGACCACTTTGTAAAAGCTAATTAGCAGCCCTTTCGAAAGCAGAACGTTCCCACCCAGGAAAACACTCAGAACGAGTGTGCAACGTGTTCACCTGGAACAAGAACGGTGATGGGACCATTAGTCAAAGTAGCCCCAAACTGGACACAAGTCGCATGCACCTCCAGGTGGAAGGTATAAAGAATGATGCGTTAATGCAGTGGAAAACTTCATGGCAGTGAGAACAGGCAAGCTGTGGCTACGTGCAGTTACATGGATGCACCTCACAGCCATGGTGTTGAGCACAGAAAGTGGTGCAGAGCGAACTTATTCCATTTATATGAAGCTCAAAAGTAAGCAGCTACAGTGAACCATGCAAAAGTGAAAATAAGAAAGCAATTCCATTTATGAGCATAAGAAAAGAGTAAAACACTTCCAAACACATTTAGCAAAAGAAGCATACGATTTGTGCACTCAAAAGAATACAACATCACGTAAAATTTTTAAAAGACGAAAATAAGTGGGAAGATATCCCATGTTCATGGATTAGAAGACATGATATTGTAAAAATCTTACCACTTCCTAAATCAATCTGAAGATATAAAAGCAATTCCTGTCAAAATCCTGGGATTTCGATGTTTTATTTTGATAAATTTTGACAAGATGGATCTTAAAACTCACATGAAATTACAAGGGACCCAGAATAGTCGAAATATTCTTAAAAAACAAAATTGCAAATTTGAAGAACTCATATTTCCTGTTTTAGAGCAACATATAACTGCATAAACATTTGTGCAGCAATGTTCATAACAGGATTATTCATAAAAGTAAAAACGTAGAAAAAATCCAAAAGTCAATCAAATAACAAATGAATATACAGAAGTGATATACCAATACAATGAAATATTATTCAGCCATAAAAAGGGAAGCTCTGATCCATGCTACATGGATGAGACTTGAAAACGCTATGCCAAGTGAAAAGCCAGCTACAAAAGGCCACACCATATGACTGCATTTCTGTGAAATGTACAGTACAGGCAAGTCCTTGGAGATCAAAAGGAGATGAGTGGTGGCCACAGGGTCACGTGGTTACGTTTTAGAGAGATGAAAGTGTTATGGAATTAGCGATGATCCATGCACAAGTCTGTGAACATACTGAAAAAAACTGAATTAGACGCTTTTAAAAGAGTGAACTTTATGAAATATGAATTATATCTCAATAAAGCTGTTATTAAAAAATAGGCAAAACTAATCAAGATGATGGAAATTGGTAGATGATGGCTACAGGAGGCATGAGAGGGTCTTCAGGATACCCTTTAATTCACTGAGTAAAAATGCAGGGAACTAGATGCTTAAGATCTGTTTGCTTTGTCCTGTCATTATGCGGCAGTAAAATGTTTTCAGATGACCGTTTGTGTTCTGGTTAAGAAATCATAATGCAATCACATGTCATTGTAGTTAAAATGAAAGAATGCATATAAGAAGTTCAAAGTATCAAAGACTTAATAAATGTTAGCTCCCAGCCAATACTAATGAAATAACACTTTATTATTTATTAAAATTCTGTACCAAAGATCCAGTTCTGTAATGAAGTCTAACCCTGATTAAGCTTTGACACTTTATTAATTAAAATTATGAACTTTCTTTATATATAGTGACTCGTTTTAAAGAATGACATTTAGGCAACTCTAAATGCATAGATTAGTAACTAAATTATTTGGGCTAAAAATGAATCAACGGCTTAAAAAAGTCATATAAAAATATTCATTGACTGGGATTATTCATTCCAACTAATTTTCCATTGAATTCAAATTGTTTTCATTAAATGTATTCAAAGGATATGATACTATCTATGGTAGAGACAGTACTCAAATTCAGAGTTTCTGATTCTAAATCTCATTCTTTTCATTCCCCAAATTTAGCCATTAATGGAAAACAATGTGTAATTTCTCTGAGGTCAGATTACACTTCCTGTCTCTGCATGGAGGTTTGCCATAAGCCCAACCCCAGCAATTCACACGCATCTCTTCTGTCTCTCATTTAAATCTCTTCTTTTAAATTTTGTTTTATTGTTTGAAGTATTACAAATAGTAGTACATATGTCTCCTTTTTTTCCCCATTGACCTCCCCACAGCCTCCCCTATCCCCCCCCCTCCTGGCACATGCCCTCACCACCCACCCCTCCCAGTGTCTTGCGTCCATTGGTTAGGCTTATATGCATGCATACAAGTCCTTCCGTTGATCTCTCACCCCCGCCCCCCACCAATCCTCCCCTGCCTTCCCACTGTAGTTTGACAGTCTGTTCAATGCTTCTTTGCCTCTGTATCTATTTTTGTTCATCAGTTCATAATGTTCTTTATATTACACAAATGAGTATGATCTGCCATTTGGCCCAGTAATATCACATTTAAATCTTAAAGTGGAAGGTTGCATAGCCTTTATGGCTTTCCACTTGGAAAACAACACCTATCTTTAATTTGATGCTTCCTCACAGATGGTTTATAAATCAGATGAGGGAATAGATAGTTCTATTTAATTGCTATGGGCATATTTTTAATAAAGCTCCAATTCTGGATACATACACAGTGTGTGTGTGTGTGTGTGTGTGTGTGTGTGTGTGTGTGTGTAAAATCTTAGCTGGATGGATTCATTTAATAGAAATAAATCTGCCCCTTGACAAGATATTCTTGTTTTGTATGGTTGGCTTTTAAGAAAACCTTAGAAATGTTGCATTTATCAGGGATTAACAAAACCACATAACACTATATATCTGAATCTCTTTATTTAAAAACAATTGTTTTGAGTTAGAACACTGTCTTTAAGACCCACAATGCTATTATAAATGTGAGATATAAACGTTAACACCAGTGGAATGGCCTGATAATTACACTATTGTAATTAAGAGAGAATTTTAAGATCTCAATTTAGCCATTTAAAGTTACTCCCTAGACTAGAGCAATCATGCCCGGAGCAAAAGGAAGTCACAGATAACAAATACTTAAGGCATCGGACACAGCAGCCCAGAATCAGAAGCAAACACTGATGGAGTCCACAAAGCCTCTTGTCATTCCAACGTCACGTCTGAAGTCCCTTGGGAAAAACTGTATAATAAAATGTAATAAAACATTCAAAAAACAATATTTCTTTTAAGTTATAAATCTTTCCAAAAAATGAATGCTCGTCTGATCAGCTGTTTGGGGTAAAGGTCCTATTACCATAAAATCCATGTGTAGACAACTTTGAAAAACAATTTTTGAAGACACTTTACGCCCTCGGGTTTATACTTTTTAAATGCTTTCAGGATCTCAAAGGTTCCAGATGTTACCACACACACACACACACACACACTTTTTGTGTGTGCATCTGCCTCCTTTTCTATGCGGTGGATTGAGAGCGTAAAGAATGAACCACACAATTTTTGGTTTATCTGTTTTTCTTTTGGCCCTGAAATCCCTCATCACCTTCCTCCTCTCGCCACCTGCACTGTAATTTAAACTTTTTCTTGGCGTCTACAGCTGCAGAGGGACGAGTTCATAAAAGACATAAAAGAAGAATCTGTCAACAAAAGCTCACTGCCACCAATCCAGTGCCAACACGAGGCCCCAGTATGGGGTGCAGAAAAAAGAGAAACTGTTTTCAGATGAACAGTTAGCCAACCAACTGAAATTGCACTCCTCTGAGAAAAAAGGGTGGCCCGCTTATATAAAGTTCCTGCCCTGGTCCCTGATTGGTCCATTTCTATGCAAATGAGGAATCCAAATTTGCAGTCTGATTGGTCCCAAAAGCACTGTCCTGATTGGTGGATATTGTGCATTCTGATCGGTTGCTATGGAGCTGCTCCTCTTGGTTAGTAAAGATGCAAATGAGGCTATAGCTCTGCAGCTCTCATTGGATGGGGCAGATCCCAGCCCATTGGTTGAAATAGGATTCCAGGAACTCCCTTAAAAGGCGGCCTCAGCTGGCAGGAGCACAGAGCAGGGGGCTGGCAGCTCTGTCTGGCTTTTCCCTGAAATGCATCCTGCATCCAAGGTGTCTGCAAAGAGTGACTGCCAGATTCTGGTTATGAATTTGGGCCCCATGAACCACAAGGGGTCCTTCTGGGCAGGTATGTTTCATCTCAGAGTCAATAAAACAAATAACATTGTTGAGTTCAAGTTCTTGAAAGCCCATCCCTAGCATAAAACAGTGGGGCTGGAAGACTACTTGACTATCTGGTTCTTCCAGTAGTAAAATACAGAAATGTTTAAAAATGCTTAAAGAATGGTAGAAAAGTTTTAAAATGTTTGTGTTAACTTTCCTTAAAACTCAAAGTGTAATATTAAAGACACATTCCCCACAGCCTTGAAGCATGTGTACCCCAGAGATAAGGATTTAAACTAACAGTGACTTGTCAAGATAAACGCTTGCCTGAGTGACTACTCTCCTTAGCCCCTCGCCTTGTTTGAGATTAACGTAAGCGCATTGACGTAAATCATTGATAGCCACCTGAGCTGCTACAGGTATGAACAAGCTTTAACTATGGACCCTGGCCAGCTAACGATGCTCATCTGTGGAGACAGCCACAAAGGCACGTCCTTTTGCCAGTCCGGCAAGCGACGCCGTTCCACGCTCCTCTCTGCCAAATGACAGAAAAACGGTAACACCCGATTGAGACGCGACTGAGCTCTCGGGTGAGGAACGCCGGCCCCCTGCCTGCACCCGGGACCAGACCAGCCCAGCTGCCGGACCCCAGAGGACAGCACCACAAGGATCCCTAACTAAGCTTGTACCCACAGCTCAGGAATTTGTGTGAGTAATAAAAAAGCTGTGTGATTTGCAACTGCATATGTTTCATGTGGTGTAATTCCTCTGGCAGTTCACTGAATTATTTTGCGTACGCTTAAAATTTAAATTAAAGCTTCTGGTCCCTCTGGTCCTAGGCCTGCCACTTGGTCCTGCCTGCGTAGAGCAGCCTCTCCGCTAGCAACTACTTGAATGTCCCACACCTGCACGGTTAGAGTTTATCTCAAGGGACGCCTTGGATAACCCCCAGATCCTTTCCCGGGATCTACATGGGACATCCAGCCACAGAGATAGGAGATAAGCACATTCTCTTGAGGCAAAAGGGAGAGAAAAGTTGGACAAAGAAGCCTGAGGAAGCCCACGGAGCTCACCCCGGCTCCAGCATCTGAGGCCAAAGTCCTCAGACTCGGCTGGCAGGGTTCCAGAGCGCCTGGGGGTATGTCTTCGTTTTTGTGATCAGAAGCCTCAACGTTAGTAGTGATTTTATCTGGAAGTGGTTAAAGGCACTCATCTTGCCATGAAGTGCAATGGCAACCTAAAATGAGTGCTAGGTTGTCTGATAGGAAGGGACAGAGCCCTCCCCGTGTGACACTCGGGCATCTGCAGAGTCTCCTGTTCCCAACAAAACAGTGAAGGAAGGAGGGAAGCGCTGTAAGCATTTGAAAGGTCCAACTGTTACCGTGACCAGAACTACTTCGGTGTCCTGACATGGAAATCAAATCCAAGGTTTAAAAAAAAAATACATTTTTCTAGAACAATACCAGCATATGACGGTATCAAGGCAGAGGTACAGGGGTTGAAATAAATCAACTAACATAAGCGCATTGAGAAAAATTGAGAAAAATGTTAGTCTTTTACCATATGAGGTAAACATCCCAAACAACTACCATCTTCATCTGCTCATCCGTTAGTAACATTAGGTATCCGATCCACTGGGTGAGAGGCAAACGGACTCGCTGTCACGTCCACTACCAATAACGCGTCCGTAACATTTGGGATAACTACACGTCCTATCAGTCTGTTCTCAACCCGGTTCCTCGGAGAGTATGCATCTGAGAGAAATGACAAGCTCATTTCTAAGTAACAAATACTGAAAGATACTATTCGTTGTAGGGGATTCTCTATGTTAGCATAGGACGACCCCAGAAGATAACTTCAGGCATAAGTAGGGCACAGGAGATTTATTTTCCAGAATATAAAAAACTACCGAACACGTCTAAAAACATTACCTGTCCACGGTGATGACGCGCACTTTCTACTTTTCAAGCAGCTCATAATGTCCTTTGATTAGGATAATTGCAGAGGCAAGTCGGTGCGTGCATTTCATAGAAAAGAAGGGAAAGGCAGAGGCTGAAGAAGGGGAAGGAGGGACAGAGAGAATGAACGAACGACTCACATCAGCAAGCGCGAGAAAAGATCGTGATTAGTAATCAACCCTGGGGCGAGAAGCAGGCCTCTGAGCCTGGACATCGCGGAGCAAGCCAGCCGGCGCACACGGAAAAACAGAAGAACATGGAAGATACTACATTTCATGTGGACCAGATATTCCATTCGCTGCAACAACGGGAGCCATCCCTCCTCAACTAGGAGGGACTGGAGATCCGCATTAGCGACAGTGGCCCATGTCCCCGTGTGTGAGCACAGGATGAACTGCAGGGAACCAGCCACCGAGGGCTTACCCTGTAGGAGACGTGCTCCTAGGAGCCTCCCGCACTGCATGTGCATGAAGCACAGATATCCTTACCTCTAAATGAGGAAACGGACACAGGGGGATGGCGAGGACTTGCCTGAGCTCATCTGGAAGGAAGGGACCGAGCAGGGATCTGAACCCAGTCTCCGATCGCCCCAAGACCCGCTTCGAAGAGGAAGGTGAATAAAGTGAACATGATCACACTCTGAACAGGTCCTCTTTTAGGTGTGGCTCATTAAGCTTATTTATGTATTTATTTTTTAAAAAATATATTTTTTTATTGAGTTCAGAGAGGAAGGGAGAGGGAGAGGGAGATAGAAACATCAATGATGAGAGAGAATCATGGATCCCCTGCCTCCTGCACGCCACACACTGGGGATCGAGCCCGCAACCCGGGCATGTGTCCTGACCAGGAATCGAACCGTGACCTCCTGGTTCATAGGTCGACACCTAACCACTGACACACACCGGCTGGGCTGATCATTAAATGTCAACACCAGACTGGAGAGAGAACCACTTACTAGTAATGTGGGGCGTGAGTCCTTGCAGAATTCTGTCTCCTTTCTCTCCAGATGTGCTGGACAGAAACAAGGAATCCAATATGCACATGTTTAAGCCAAATTAATACCCATAAATATTTTGCATGCAACAGTCTTTCTTTGGGCCTGTGACACCACCGTGACAAATATAATGAGCAATTAAATCCCTAAGGGCTCCGATTTTGGCAGCAATTAAAGCAGAAACGAGAAAGTACGCATCAAAAAGGACGGGTTTGGGTGGCCTGCTGCCAAATGAAGGCCCGGGGGTTGAGGGAAGGTCTAGAGTTTCAACTGTGATAGATTTGATAGTGTTTTATCTCTCGTCTGTGTTAAGGACTGTTTGAAAGAATAATAAAACCAACGAGGGGAGTATCAACAGCAACCTGGAAACTAAATAACCCATTAGGAGATCTCCGGACGCTGAGAAATGTGAGTAAGATCAGACACCACAGAATAAGGAGTTCAACCACACGGCGACAGAGCCACGGGCTGCACGGGGCGGGAAAGAAGCGGAGATGTCAGCCGCTTACATTATTAAGCGGGAGAAAGCATGACTCCCCTACGACTTCATTTTCATAGGACTGCATTTCTCTATGAAATCATCACAGTAACTAGAACTACACAGATTGGATCTAAGCTTTATACACTAATTAGAATTTTAGAATCAGAAAACCCATCTTAATAAATGATAAAACTCAGTTCCATCATCCAAGTCACAGAGAGTTAATGGCACAGCCACTAGAACCGAAGTCGCTAAATTATTTAATAGTAAAACCTCAGGTCAATCGATTAAATCTCAATTCAGAAAAAAAAAAAAAATCTTAAAAGTCTACTCTGTGCTTGGCATCATACTAAGCGCATAACCAGGGACATGAAGGTGAGAAGACAAGACCCCATGCTGACTGCAACCGGGTGAGAAGAGAGGGGTTAATTCTGGAGCAGAGGTGTCTGGGGGTTCGTTACGTCTGAACATGTCTTCAAGATGAGCCAACATGTTTCCGATGAAGGAAAACAAACGGCTAAGGTAGCGGAATTGGCTCTGGCCTCAGAGCTCGGTGTGATGCCAACCGGCCAGGGGTCCTTACGCAGGTTACTTAAGGGGGCTTACTCTACGTGAAACCTTGGGTTGTCAGCAGAATTACATGAAATAACGCGTGGGAATCACTCGGCAGACAGAACAAATAGGTCTGCAGAAAGTGGTGGAAGGAGAGGAAGCCTGTCCATGAATTTCCCCCTCGTCCTGATGGGTCCGATTTTATGGAGGGAGGTAGAAAATGTGCATTTTTCATGTCTTCCTGGTGATTCTTAGGAATAATAAAGTAAATACAGGAGTTATGGAAAAAGATTTTTAATGTTTTGACCACAAGATCCCTACAAGAATACAAGGAAAATCATGATCCTTTTCTCTTAAAAAATTAATATTTTAAAAATACACATGCATATATATACAGCATCCCCCCAAAATGTACACACACTTTGAATAATGATAAAGGCAGTATTTATTAAACTACATTCCATTTTCACAATGTAACAGGAATCAGCTCTTAAAGTGTGCATACGTTTTTTCAAGACGTCCTGTATCTGCAATACGCCGTGTCTCATTTCCGGGGCCACCGGATCCCCGGAGACGCACCATGGCCATGTCTCAGGAAGGATGACTGCACTGGACCTAGATCACATGGCAACGCAGGTTACAAACAGAACCAGCTGCCCCGGCCTCGAGAAGCAAGGGGCCCAAGAGTCCACTATGTCCTGGTGTTTGATAATGATGTGTAAGTTCAAATTACTAATAAAAGTATGATGTGAAAGTCAACCCTGTGCCAAGCTAGAAATGAAAGCCATTCATTCATTCACTCATCCATTCATTCAAGAGGTATTGAGAATCCATCTAATATAGTGGTTCTCAACCTTCTGGCCCTTTAAATACAGTTCCTCATGTTGTGACCCGACCATAAAATTATTTTCGTTGCTACTTCATAACTGTAATGTTGCTACTGTTATGAATCGTAATGTAAATATCTGATATGCAGGATGGTCTTAGGCGACCCCTGTAAAAGGGTCGCTCGACCACCAAAGGGGTCGTGACCCACAGGTTGAGAACCGCTGAACTAATAGGTACCAGATACTACTGGGGATACCAAGGCTTAAAAACCAAAACCAAAAAACTCTTCTTTTAAAAAAAAATACATTTTCAATACAACAAGGTAATTGATATTAGGCAAGCACACCCCCGTCCAGTGGGAGAATCAGAGCCACATATTAATCATGCATTAATGATCATTTCAAATCTGCAGCACATTATATTCTGAAGGACCCACAGGGAATTATCACCATGGAGGCAATTATAAATTCACATTTTTAAAATGGGAGACATTTAAATAAAATAGCACACTCCAAGTTATACTAATACAAGTCTAAGATGACTGAATATTGATTAGTTTAATGGTTTTATTTAGGCAGTGAGAAAAATCGAAAAAAGATAATGCTAGTGCTTTTACTTCTCATGTAGTTAGAAATTCCTAAGGTTGAAGTTCCTCTAAAGATTGAATGAGTCTGCCCAGCCAGCGTGGCTCATGGGTTGAGTGTTGACCTAGGAACCAGGAAGTCAGGGTTCAAGTCCCTGTCAGGACACAGGCCCGAGATGCGGGATCAGCCCCCCCGGTGTGGGGCGGCAGGAGGCAGCCGATCAAAGACTCTCATCATTGATGTTTCTATCTCTCTCTTCCCCCCTCCACTCCCCTCTGAAATCAATAATATATTTTTAAAAAAGAATGAATGAGTCCATTCGGTGAAATGTTGTATTTTCATT